TAATATACAATTATATTAATTAATAATTTCCATCTATAATTATTATTATTTTTATTATTAAAAATTAATATTTATTTGTAATTAATATTAGCGAGGGTTATAATTGGAAAGTTGATAAAAAAATCCTCATAAGCGATTTCAAGTAATATTTTAACTTATAAGCTTGTTTATGTCCATCCAAACATGTACAAAAAAATAAAGTAGCTTATAAGGTAGTTTATGTTTGTCAAATAATGTCTTAATACATTAATAATATTTTGTATTAAGTTTATAATTTAGTTATTTTGTGTTTACAAATTGTAAAATATATTTAAATAATTAATTTGTTTTTAACATAATATTTAATAATTAAAATGTCATTCTAATTTTAATGACGTTTCTTTAAATAAATTATTTTAAGAGTAAGGGCCCGTTTACCCAATTGCTTACCCGATAAACGCTTACCGATATGAGTCAACAAGACAACATTATGATTTATTTTGATGCGTAAAATTTTAGTACATCAAAACATATCGAATGCAACAATTTAATGGGTAAATGCCTACCTGGGTAAGAGTCGTCATCCTCACTTACCGGGTAAGACTCTCCATCATTCTCGTCGCTCTTACCCGGTAAGATTTTTTGCCCTTATCATGTTCAATCGATAAGGAAGCTTATCTGGTAAGCACTTACCAAGTAAGTGTTTAGTAAACGGCTCATAAGTGATAATTATTTATTGATTATAAAAATTAATTATATACTATAATTATTATGTTTTAGTAAAATAGTGTAATAATAAATATATATTATTTCATTATTATCATAATATTAAAGATGTTTTAATATTTTTTTGGAAGTTGGTTTTTTAGTCTTTTTACTGGGGTTTTTTAATGGTTGGGTTGGAGTCTTAGAGATGCCGTAAGTTTTTAAACTATTTTTTTGAATGAAAAAATCACTGATTTTTATTTTATTTTTTATGATTAAGTTACTAAATATTAAATTTTTGAAAAAATAAGCCATTGAATTTATAAAAATTGGTTAATTACCTCATTTTAACCCAAAAAAACTATGGGATTGTTTGTTTAACTCTTGATAGTTCAATTAAGAGGCAGTCTCTGAATCGTTAAGAGGTGAATCTTGTTTGACAAAAAAAAATATATGTCTCTTGATGGTTCTAAAACCCTCTGAATGATTTTGTATCCTGAATCTCCCTTAACTATTAAGTGCCCTAATTTTATTGTAAACAATTACTAAACAATAATATTTCATTTTACACTATATAATGAGAGTCTCTTAATCATTCTGACCACTTAATCATTATATACCAAACCATTCATCAATTGTCAAACAACCGCTACATATAACTAGCTAGAAAAATGTTCTAAGTTATATAAAAAAAAACTTCAATTAATTTTACTGTTTTCTAAATCCTACTTCATTCAAACTCTGCACCCCAATGACATTGCTCCACTTTGTCCTCTCGTCGTTGTCCGTTCTCTATACAAACTATTGTCGTCGTTGGCTCTTATCATCGATCTTCCTCTTTTTTATCTGTTTTTTTATCTTTTGATCCTCTCTTTTTGACAATATTTTAATGGAGTATGTATAAACAAATCAAAAAAGAGGAAAAATCAAAAAACAATTTTTTTTGAAGTATATTATATTTATGTACGGCAAATGTAACAAATAAACTTACACACCCTCCTCACCTATGGTGAGGTTATTACTGATAAAAGAGGGAGGTTTATGGCACGGACCCAATGATGGTCATAGAGAGTGGACGACAAGGGGGGGTTGATGACGTTGGACACAAAGGGGTATTTTTGACGTAGGATTTGGAAAATGTAAAATTGATTTAGGTATTTCTGTACTTGAATCTTTGTAATCAGTTATTGATAATTTTCTGGGTTAAAATTATGTAGTAATCAATTTCTAGTTATGTTTTTTTCTTTTTGAAATATAGAATGAAATCCGATGATCATTTATAGTTATGTTTTAAAAAATAGACAAATTATATGGAAAAAATAACGTACTTTAACTTGATTTATATTTTGGATAACGTATTTTTAAAGCTTTTATTTTGGTATCTAAGATGTAAAACTTTAGACATTTAAGTACCGAGGTAACCGGTTTAAGCATTAATTGGTTATCATGCTGACGTGACGAGTGATGTGGTATCCAACTTAGTATTATTTTCTGATTCTTTTTTTAATCCAAAATTAGTTTTCAACCGGTTACTCAAGTACTTAAATGTTTAAAACTTTACATCTTAGGTACCAAAATGAAAATTAAAAATACGTTACCTAAAATAGAAATCAAGTTAAAATACGTTACTTTTTGATGCAATTTACCCTTAAAAATACATGACAAAGGTTATTTATGCATTATTGACGATAAGGGGTATTGAGAAAAATAAAAATTGTGTAATTTCTCATGTACGGGTGTGTTTGGGATTTCTTATAAAAACAACTTATTGACTTATTCCGATTTGACACCGATAATAAACACTTTTGAGTGTTTAGATAAACAACTTATACTTGTGTCAAACCGGTAATAAGGAGTTTTTGAAGAAGTTAAAACCTTCTGTGACTTATAATAAATTGATAAGTGTTTTTGTAAAAAAAAAAAACATAAGTTATTTCAAATAAGCAATCTCAAACACCCCCGTAATTACTCTACAATAATAGTAGAGTTTTTTTTTTTATGATTTTGTACATAAAATAATTGATTTTAAGATCAGGTTTTTCATGAAATTCGATATCTGTATTATGTTATTAAAATCCAAAATCTGATGATGTAACAGCTGAACAAGCATAACATAATCCATTCAAATGGTAACTTGGAATCATAAATTCCACAGTGGAAGTCTTTACCTCAGATATCAAATGTATTAACTGGGGAACATCGTCTAAAAGTACACAATCTCAATCAAATACTTACGAAGGCTATTTATATCTTCTCCTTTTCCTTTGACTCTTCAGCCTTATCGGCCCCTAAGATATATGTTTGGGTTTAGGGTTTGGGTCAGTTTTACACTTAGGGTGCGTTTGGTACACTATACAGTACATGACAGGGATCTATGTCTCATGTTTGGCATAACTTTTATGTGGAACAGACAGGAACAAAGTAGAATAAAGTGAAACAAGCATGTTCCACCCTTACCCCATGGAACAGGGTGGAACACACTTATATTTTATCAATATAACGTCAAAATAAAACTTAATTCTCTTCTAAAACATCAAATAGATCTCTTTTTTACATTTTATTCATTCTTTAAATTTTATTTATTGTATTTTATATTTCTTAAACTTTCATTTCACTATCCTCAAAAATTATTTTTATACGGTTTCTATATTTTTATTAATTTATGTAATTTATTGCATATTAATATTAAAAAATAATGTAGAAAAGAGATAAAAATAAAAATTGGAAGCTACATAAACTTTTTATTTGGTGTCATTTTAATTGTCTTGACAAAAACTTCAAATGATATATTTTGTTTTAAAAATCAATTATTCTATTATAATTTAATAAATTACATAAACTAATTAAAATAAACAACTCATCAGGGGTAAATTGGTCATTTTACTTGTTCTGTTCTATCCAGTTTTATCTTACCAAACGTTGAACAGTTGTTCTATCATGTCCTATTCTGTTATGTCATATCTTGTCTAGACACCAAACACACCCTTAGTGAACTCCTGGTTTATATAGAAAACTTGATTGATCAAAAACATCACATTGTTTCAAATATATAACCTTAAAATCGAGAAAATTTAATCATAAAAAAACATGGATGCAAGTGTAAAGTCAAACTTCTAAGTACTACACGAGTCAACGTTGTCAGTAATATCAAATTGAAAAGTACAAAGGTGTACCTCACGATACATATACTATCGATTCTATAAGTATAACAGTACACCTCGTGATACATGTACCAGATCACATCAATCGACCTGGTAAAAAGTTACTTCTCAACGTATATCGATCGAAACATCGTTAATAACATCACATCTCCAAGTACAAATGTATACATCATGATACATGTACCGGATAAAATCAATCGACATGTACAAAGGTATTTCGCAACATATACTGATTAAAACATCATTACAGTTTCCCACCATCTTTACTGACTCACGTATATATACATAAAATATCCATGCACTTCACAGTGTTTTATTCATGCTTAAAAGTAACACATCGAGCTTGCATTTGCATAAAATAACATCAATATATCAATCGATCGTAATACATTTTGCAACGTATATATTTTCATGTAAGCGTGCATCCCGGTTTCAAAAGTCGCTTGAAACTCAAAAGGTCGATTACTAAGGAGCCGTTTACCTAAACATTTATCCGGTAAGTGCTTAACGGTATAATTCAACTCTATCCCCTTACTTATCGGGTAAGATTTTGTCTACCAAAACGACATCGTATGTAACAATTTATCCAGTAAAACTGAATTTAGCCATAACTTCTAGGAGATTAGGGGTTCAAAACTCACCAAAGATGAGAAATGTGTGAGTTTATTTGTTTTATTTGTCGTATATAAATATTATATACTTAAAAAAATGAATTGTTGGTAAGCAACTTTTATCCGGTAAGTACTTACTGAACAAGAGTCTTCTCCCTCACTTACCGGGAAAGATTCTATGTTTTTGCTCTGCCTCTTACTAGGTTAGATTTTTAGTCTTTGTCATGCTCATTTGGTAAGATGACATCCAATAAACGCTTTAAGAGGTTGATAAAAAACCCCTATGTCTAACCAAGAATGAAAAAAGGAAAGCCAATTACGTTACACTACAACACTGGCATAATATAGTCGAGCCCAGAACTTGCACAAACTTCAGCTAATCTCATTAGACCCTGAAATAACAAGTAAGAAAAGCCCATAGCCTCTGTGGAGACTTGAACTAGCAATCTACGGAAATAACCCCCAAATAACATTCACTCGTCAGTTAAACCACCTCTCAAGATTGCCGAAGACAAAATTTGTAGTTCAATCACCTCAAAGATTGCCAAGAGACAAATGTGTAGAACTTCAACTAAATCTCATAAGACACTGAAGATAACAACCATGAAAAGTCAAAGGGCTATACAGACCCGAACCATCAACTTATGGAAATCTCAAAACATTTATTTGCCAGTTGATCTGTCCCTCACGATTACCACGAGACAAATTTGCATAACCTCTACCCATGCGGTAAATAAGTTAAACAAGCACGACAAACACATAACGCGATACTGACAACTACTAGAATCAAATAACAAAGACCTACAAGAAATATAGTACCAAAGTTTTGTGAGGATGCCAAGTTCTACAAGATTCAAAATTGGGACTGGCATAACACATGAAACCTAAATATCACATGTGACCATCACCAGCAGGAACATTTTGTTCTTAAACAATCATACAAGTTTTACGACCATAAAAATCAACATACCCATGAGCAACTCGTCACAGTCAGATGGACTTGTCGGGTTGATTGTCATTGTATATTTTAGTTCCGCTCAACACGTACCCACCACACGCACTCATCTGCATGTGGGGGTGAGTTCTTGAAGGAAGAACCTGCAACATAATAGCCACAAAATCTTAAGAGTTTGTTGCAAGTGTGTATCTACAGGAACAGATGAAACTGAACGGTGATGCATGAAAGAAACGATTTAACAAGATATAGTCCCACGAAGGAAGAAAAAGAGACATTATCTAGACAATGGACTATAAAACTAAACCAAACAAACACGGTTCACGCATGTAGCGTAGATCTTTCCTCTACCCCAAGAGGTAGAGAAGTTGTTTCTATGAAGACCCTCGTCTTGTAAAAAAAAGAAAACAAGGTACGGGTAAAATGTGTGTAATTAAGCAACAAATACATTTGATGATTTAGGTCATGTTTGGCAACCATAAGCTGGCTTATTTTTTGAGCTTATTGAAAAAACCCGGTTTGGTTTGCCATAAGATAGCTTATTGAAACACTATTCCATATATGGTTCGCCAATTATTCTCCTAATTATTATATTTCTTTTCATAAAATATTTAATTAAAGAGTGAATTATGGATTTGATCCCTGTGTTTTGATGTTTTTATGAGTAGGGTTCGTACACTATGATTATTATGAATTTGATCCATGTGGTATTCAATTTGTCAAGCTACGGTCTCTCTAAATAACAATGTTAAAAATAATTTGTTAAGTGAAGGGCACTTAAGAGTCTTTTTAATATCACTTAAAAATTTATTTTCAACATGTCGTTTATATCTTTGGTGAGGGAATGTTGAAATAATTTTTTAAGTAATCAGTTAAAAGACTAAAGTGCCCTTCACCTGACAAATTATTTTAACAATGTTAGTCAGAGGGACCATAGCCCTCACAAATTGAACAACACAAGGACTAAATCCATAATAAACGTAGTATAGAGACCTTAGTCAGCAGTCATACAAAAAATCAAAACACAACACCAAATCCGCAATTCACTCTTAATTACATATATTTTTTGAGCAATTAATAACTAATATATTTACTTAAAAAACTATTAATAAAATGTTTAATTATTAATTAATATATCTTTTCCAAAAAAATTATAATAAAATATTAATTATTACTTAAAATTATTAACAAAATACTTTTAAAAAATATTTAATATATTAATTATTTTTTTTTAAATTAACAAACTTTATTTTATTTTTATTATGTGTAACGATTATTCAAAATCATCGATAAATGTGACAAATTTCTAAAGTTCACATTAGGTTACACTAATTCACTAATTGATAATTTTACAAAATCCATTACATTCCCTAACATGGGATGATCATGCCATGAAATGTGGGAAATTCGTAATAATATTGCAAGTATAATAAAGAATGCAAGGAATGTCCATTGAACCTAAACATCTGGAGAGCTCTCTATTTTTGTAATACTTATTTTAGTATGATCAAATATATTAGTAGTTTGTTTCAATTATATTATGTATGTTAGAATTGAATAAATTTTTAACATGTCCTTTTTGGTCATTTTACACCTGCCAACTAGCTTATCAACTAGTTTTTGCAGACATTAATAGCTTTTTAGCCAACATATAGCTTTTCAACTAATTCGCCAAGCATAGTCATAAACAGACAAAGCTTTATGACATCAATGGATAACAAGTAGAAAACTTTTAGCTCTCATTTTGTTTGTCATGTAACATGATGATAATTTTGGAGTCTATAAACTTTATAAGCCATGGTAAAAGCAGCTTTGCTAATGAATTCTTATAGGATCTAGGGACCCTACATACCATTTGGCTAATTCACAAGTGCAAATTCCACCTCAAGACCTCTAGACATGAGCTCTTGACTGGCTCTACATTCATCACTGCTTTTTCTCCCTACATCCCAGTATGCTATGAATTTAGGACACAAGTGATTGAATATTTTCTGCTAACTTCAGCGGTTTAGTTCAACTAAGGAGACATTTGATAAGCGCTTACCAGTGAGCATGGCAAGGACCAAGAATCTTACCCGGTAAGTGAGGAAGATGACTCTTACCCGCTTAACACTTACCGGGTAAAAGACGCTTACCAACAATCCATTTTGATGGCCAAGAATGTTACCCAATAAGATAAGTAAGGGTGGTGACTCTAGCGGGTAAGCGCTTTGCCAGTAAGCATTTGGTAATCGCCCCCTAAGTTATAGACTTCTACCAAGGTTCATGTGAAGAGGGAAGAAGAAAAACAGCATAAGTAAACCAAACCTGATATTCACGTAGCCACGGTTCTGTAATTTGCAAGCCGATTGCCATTTTCTCAACCTGGAGATTGTGCATGCATGTTGCCAATGGCTGCAGTTATACAAAAGCAACTTCTATCAAATGCCTGTTTCAGACAGCTAGAAACCATTTTGCCTGAAAATATAAGAATAAGAAGTGCTAAAAATGACAAATGTGAAGGTGTACATCTCAAGTGTAAGGCGGACAACGGTCCTTATCAGCAGCTTAATAACATCTGGACAGATAAATTTTGTTTCCGACGTAAACAATTTACTTAGCGATCATATGGCTTTCATGTTTGCTTTTGGGCTGCAGCATCTTAATATAACTTTCCAGTCTCATTTTTAGCTCCCCACAACTAGTTTGGGAGGAGATGCTTGCTGTTATAATCATATGGGAATCCTTAATCAGAAGTAGACGTGTTAGAAGCAACTTGGCATAACAGAAAATAAAATAAGGATAATTGCTTTTATAGATCTCACATAACATCAGGAATAACATTGGACTAGGTGAAAGTGCAGTTAACTATAGTAATATTTCGATCTTACAAACACGTGAGAGTGGGAAAACAGTTATTGAGCACGCAGTTGTTACATAATGATTAATTTCAAGAATCTAAGTCTTATTTCTGTGGACAACCATAATCCTCTAACCAAATATATAATAAACACACACACACGGAAGCATATACCGGAGCAGTCAAGTACCAAGAAGTTGGGTAACAAACCAAATGATCATTGGTTCAACAGTATCTGGGTCATTGGTAGAGCCCAGCCTCCCAGAAGGTCAGGGGTTCAAACGTCATTAAAGGCAAGGAGTGTGCATGAGTACTTGCTGTATATCAATATAAAATACTTAAAAAAAAAGTTGGGGTATACGACCTGAAGATACTGGTGGTAAATCACAAAGGGAGCTGAAAAAGATAGAAATGGTAGGACCTCCTTGACAATACCCCAAGCATCCACTTCTGGAGCAGCAATTATGAGGCTACATCATCAAAGCGAAAATTAGAAACTAATAATGCATTACTAGTTCAAAAACCCACCATCCAAAATGATTTCAACCTTGAAAATCCATTTTCTTTCCACAACTTAATGGCATCTTCAGAAGCTTTTTCTCCTGGTTTGGCAGCTTTATGTACTTTTGAGGCAACAGTCTCGGTAGTAGGCCTCCCATCTTTAGATGACACTGTGGTCTCTTCCATGCTAACAGGCTGCAAAGAGGGATGAGAAGATAATGATTCCACCACAGAAATATATTCAGGTCTCTATATTTAAGCATAGCGGATAAGATGCACCATGGGAAAAGTTCAAACGAGAAACCTTCATTTTACGAAAAAGTGAGAACACCTTTTTATGAATCACATGTGATAGTGTAGTCCATCACATGTGATACACGTGATAATGAATCACGCGCGGGCAATTTTTGGCGGGTCCGGCGCCAAGTCGCCCGCACACCACCAGGTTCCCTCACATGTGAATATGTGTTTTTTTATAGTAAAAGAGTGTCGAAGGTGTTCTCGTTTGAACCTCCACCAATGCACCATAGTCTGTAACAATGCAAGTTCAAGTTGTGACTAACATCAGACTGATTGGTTGGATTATCAACACTACCAGAAGCTTGAAGCAGTTCCATATCTTTGGAATCTGCATTTGGAGGAGCAGAAAGATCAGCAAGAGGCAACCTCACAATCCTGGACCAAGAAAAAGGTTTTGGAGCATCAATACACATTAGAATAAATCTCTTTATACAATTTTCTATATAATGAATTTCCCTACCACAAAACACCAATGAAGTTTTGCAAGTCAAAATTGAGTGATTATTTAGATTATTTTATTTGATGGAAGGTGATATACCTTTTGTTAATTTCATCACCAAAGTTGAATATCCGTACTATCTCAATAGAAGATGGAGAATCACCACGATAGGTATTGCACACATAACCAGTACCTGTTAAACTTACAGCATTACTTAACCAACCAAAAAGAAACATTACATGCAACACCATTTATCTTAGAAAAACTTGAGCACCGTAAAACCTAGTTGAAAAGCCTAATTTGAGGACTTTGAATCAACGGCATTACCAGATGATGGTGGTGGCTCCAATTATCAGATGATGTAGGAGTGAGGGTAAGTTGGTCATTTTCATTCAACTTGGCCAATTTAGGTAATGTCGCGTTTAATATGGGGCACTTGAAAGGATATTGTTGGATGTAATGTGGAAAGGACGGATATCAACTTTAAGAGATGAGCATAAAGAACAAAGACTGGTGAGTGAATTAGTGCACTTTGCAAAGCGATTAAAGTTCAAGCTACACTGAAAACAGCTGGAAGAGGAAAACCCACGGTGCTCTTCGTGCACTAAAATAAGGCCTAAAATCAAGTATAGGTTTTCATTATGAAACTTGACCAATCATATCCCAACGTCCAAACTTTGAGCCCAACATTGACGTTCTCGCCTCGTCAAACATGCTCTAATGTGCTAGGTGTGTGTCTTTGAAAAAAACTGGGATGTGTGGACAAGAAGTAGCCAACAGTGTGTTACGAGAAAGATGGAGGGATTCAAGACAATGTCAGTCACAATATAACAGAGTACGGTGGAGTTTTCTAATGATGGGCAGACAAGGGTAAAATTCTGCTATCATTTTCAACGCAATGAAGGATATGATTAAAAATGATGCTATTCGCAAAAAAGATTGGGTGACAATGATCGAGTAGAAGCTAATGTCTCACCATTTACAAACACTCCAATTCACCAGTTAGAAGAGAAGGATTGTACCAAGAGGTCAGAGAGGTATTAACTGGCCAAGATTGCCGTGAGATTTTAATTAACAATTATACTAACAGGATTGGCCTTTGATAGAAATGCATGAAAGAACACCGTCTCTCTGAATTCTAGGTGCTTCACCTTATTATGTTTGCTTTTGGTTGCACCACCTTGATAATCTTAGTCCACCCAACCAGTCTGGGACAAAAGAATGTTAACTAAATGAAAGCATTTATTTACGATACTCATGTTACCTTATCTAATTCTAAGGATTATAAAGGTGGATAACTTTTCTCTCACTGATCATACACTAGTTACTTGTAGAAGTCATTTTGGTTTATGAATTTTGGACAGAGAAACATAAATGGTCATCCAAAGATCTAAAAGCATATAATAACAAAAAAATAGGCAGCAAACAGAAATTCGTACCTCCCAGGCGTTCTGCAACAGCACCAGTAAGTATACCGCCAATCATATCCACCACAAGAACATCAGAATGTGCAGTGACATTAGCAAATGAAAGAAGAAGAGATAATGTGTCAACTCGCAAGAACCTGAGATTCAGACATTAGCAATTGATCAATGGGTTCTAATGTGTTAATAAGAATTTAGCAACTAAGTAAGTCGTTGATGGTGATATTATTTACCCAATTCTTGATGGATACTTCTTAAAGTAAGTGTCACATATACTGCAGGGAATAAGAACAAGTCAACAAGGGAAGCTGAAGAAAGCAGGCACAAACATTCACCTCACAATTTTTCAAGGAGAACTATATACAGCTGAACCAACAAAAAATGCATCCACTACTTCAATAGCATATTTTAGCTCTACAAATGGCAAACTTTATTCTCAGATTTAGTTCTTACGTTACAAGAGTGCACATCCAAGATTCCAAGATTCAACAAAGTTACCTCCGGGCGAAGGGACGTCTCAAGAGTACTTTAGGAGCATACTTCTTCTGTTTCTTAAGCCTATACTTTTCCTGCAGAGGGGAAAGTTCAGTATGCACCACAAAAGCAACCATAGTTGTTAAATGTCAAGTACTGTACTCACTTGTGAAAAGGATGTTTTATTCTCAAATGTTGCACTGTTCGCTATTAGAGCTTCAACTATCTCGTTCCCACTTGCACCCTGTCTGGATTAAAGCAATGTATAAGTCGTATTAATCAAGAAAATAAAACAATAGCAGTAAATGACACAGACACGTTTTCAAGAATGTGTATTTTCTAATAAAAAATATGTGGTTATGACAATTAATCTAGAACTTTAAGTGGAAAAGTCGCAAAGTTCCCTTCTTTAAACTAGCAGCTCAAAAACACTGCAATGTTATCCAATTATGAAAAAAACAAGTGAAGTAGATCCCTATTAGCAACTCAGACATAAGTGTAGGTATAAGAATGATAATTATATAAACAGGTAAAATAATCATGTTTACCACTATAAGCAATACGAACCAAAGTGCAATAACTACTAGAGAATCTGAGTGCAATAACTACTAGAGAATCTATCATGTCATTCTCATATCGTCACATCAGATTAGCCAAAAATAAGTACCCATTACAAATAACAAACTATCTGGAAGTAAAATTCCAGGATTCAACAAACTCGTCATATTAGAAAATGACAAATTAGGATTTAGAGCTGACATTAGGATATTAACAAGATGTGAAAAAAATGAGGGCATAAGAATGAAAGAGAACTGCCAACGTGCTCTTCCAAATGCACAAAATCAAGCATATTATAAATTACTACTTTGAAATGGAAGAAAGTATTGAGCTCTGTGGCAAGAATCCATGCATCAAAAGAGACATCTTTGGTTCATTGCTATGATAAAATTTGTACTCCTGGCAAGTATATACCAACTAGTCACACAGCCTTTTACTGCTACTGCATCTTTCCATTGTTAAAGGTTTGAATGGTTATAGATTCATGCATCAAAACAGCATCTTTGGTTCTTTGCTTTAGAAAGCTTGTACTCCTCATAAGTAAATGACAACTAACCACACAAAGCCGTTTACTAAAAGCAAGACATCAGTTTCTAACCTTCGCATTCCTTCTATATCATCCCCAGTGAGTGTTTGGGCTGTATTATTGTCAATCAATGCACGGTTGTCCCTCGACTCATCCTTTAAATCACATTCCTTCTTGTCTTCATCATTACTAACTGATAGGGTATAAAAAAATGAAAAATTAATGTGTTGATTCAACAAGGCACAAACCTGGATGCAAGATTAAGGATAAGATCCTCATTTCATGCTTACATGATAGCCACATTAGCGATAAAATTTAAAACAGGGCATGGGAAGTTCAGAAAAAGGGATGTGCAAAATGAACACCAATCACAATAGAACTACATATGCTGTGGAGTATATTCCAATACACTATTCCTTTTGGTGCAACTCTAGTTGAATTGTAATATGTCAGACTGATTCCCCCCTCTTTAATATATTAAACAGATAAGTTATACTGCTCATGTTTAGTGACAAAGGAGCTATGCTGTCAATCGCGCCGCTATAGCGGTGGTTTGATGAATCGCGGTGGTCAAATTGCGGTGCTGCTAAAATCAGTGCTATTTGCCACTTTTTGGCCGTTATTTTAGGTGCAATAGCGGTGAAAAAGACGCTATTTCAATTAGATGAATTTTCGGAACCGTTGGGCTTCTTTTAAGGGTAGGCTGATAATAAGTTATTTAAGTTGGGCGTTTTTTTTATTTTTATGGGTTGTAGTAGATTTAGTCCATTGAATCGACTTACCAGTTCGACGTGATCAAGGGTTTCATGGCATCATCTTTAATGACTTACCAGTTCGACTCAAGTTCTATTTCAAGTTATATTTCTACTCTCCGATTGATGGTTCTATTCTTCTACTCTGCAATCAACGGTTCTACCTTTACCAGTTACCACTATTCGGTTCTACCTTTACGAGTTACCACAAATTGAGGTTCTGATCTGCTAACGAGCTTAAGATGTGTTTTTTTCACCAAACACCAACTACTGTTTTACACTTTTACTATTAATTAGTTACTTACTTTGCTATTGTTATTTAAAACCTTTCTCAAGTAAAAAAAATACTGTGCTACTTTTTACAATAACTTAATATTTTTGGTTATTTATTTTGCTACAGTGCTACTGTTTTACACTTCCACTTTAGTATATGAATATTTGATTTGTATTTCGCTACTGTTTTATGTTGCTACTGCCTACTATTTACACTTTCAAGTTTCAATTCGAGTGTTAGGAAAGTGGTAGGTAAACAAATAGATGGAAAACAGTAATAGCATGGATGGTGGTCCGTCTTCGAAAGCATCCGTCACCCCGAACACTACAACTACTACGACCACATCGGATGCAGGATCTAATTCTAAATGTATCTATTGAGATATGGCTTGGGAATGGGATGTGTGGAAAGATCCTTTGAAGAAAGCTAATATATAGTGTACTTTGTGTAACAAAAAAGTACACGGATGCATCACAAGATTGAAGCAACATCTTACTCACACGGGAGGACAAGTGAGTGGTTGTCCTAACATATGTAATGACATAAAGAAGAAAGTCCTTGCATCAATGCACGAAAAAGATAAGCAAAAGAAAGAAAAGAAAAGGAAGTTAGAAATTCTTCAACAATATTCTTTTGAACCCGATGAAGGTGATGATGAAGGGCAAGAAAATGATGAAATAAAAATAATTGAAGGTGTGCAATCACAATCCGAAAGGCCATCTCACGGTTTGAAAAGAAAGGCCGTTAGCAATGTTCGTGGTCCTCTTGATACCTTGTTTAAGACCAATTATGACAAGCTAAAACAAAGCACATTGGATAGAAATAATCCAATCAAAGAGAAGTTGAAAATGGGTGCTTGGAAAGAGTTTGGGAATTGGGCATATTCGTTTGGGTTGCGCTTCAATGCCGTGCACGATGAGAACTTTCAAAGATCTATAAATGCAGTTGAAGAATATGGAAAAGGTAATTACCATTTCAAATTTTGATATAACCTCAAAGGTTAAGGTAATTATTAAATGTTTTTCTACCAATATAGGCATGCCGGCCCCGAGTTATCATAATATTCGAGTTACTTTGTTGAAGGATGTACTCGAAGATACAAACAAGTTCGTAGATTCCTTTCGATCGCATTGGAAAAGAAGTAAATGCACTATTATGTCTGACTTTTGGACTGACGGGAAAGGTCGAAGCTTGATCAACTTTTTGGTCAATTGTCCTCGAGGAACAATCTTTTTGAAATCAATTGATGCATTGGAACATGTGAAAGATGTTCAATTAATTGTAAAGATGATCAATGAAGTAATAGAGGATGTCGGAAAAGAAAACATAGTGCAGGTAGAAAATATTTGTTTAGACTTTAGATTAAGATATTTGATAATTGTGTACTAACTAGTTGTTTTTCTTTTTGTTACTTATACTAGTTTGTTACGACAACAGGTCCAACTTTAAAGTTGCCGGGAAAATATTAGAAGAACAACATCCTCAAACGTTTTGGACCCCATGCACAGCTCCATGTGTAACGCTGGTGATAGGGGATATAGGAGAGAAAGTGCCAAAGATTAAGAGCGTCTTGATTGATGCAAGAGCCATTGTGGTTTATGTTTACAACCACGGAAGGATTTTGAACATGATGCGGAGGCTCACAAAAAATAGAGAATTGCACAGATCTTGTGTAACAAGGTTTGCAATGCAATTCTATAGTATCCAAAGCATACATGAGAAATGGCATCATCTTAAATTCTTGTTTGTTTCGGAACAATGGAGGAAAAGAGATTTTGCAAATAAGGCCACTGGAAAGAGAATTGAAAGAATAATAGCAAAACAAGAACTTTGGGATAATATCTTTCTTGCTTGTCAAGTTCTGGCACCGTTGCTTGATGTTGTTTGTTTGGTTGATATCGAGGAGAAGCCTTGCATGGGTTATATCTATGATGCCATGGAAAGAGCGAAAGATCAAATTAAGAAGAATCTAACAAGCACCGCTCACGAAAGATTGATCACTAGAGTGTGGTCTATGATTCAAGCACGACGGAGTGACCAACTTCATCATCCTTTGCATGCAGGTATAGCTTATAAAGCATTTTTATGCCTTATTTAATTTTGAAGTTAAATACAACTAAGAAGTAGAGAAAAATAGATATATTAAGATGGGACTGGATAAATATATTGAATCAGAGGGGCAATTTGGATATGCGGCTGCCATAAGGAATAGAGCAAAAGTTGCACCATGTAAGCATATATATATATATATATATATATATATATATATATATATTTATACTAGAAGAGTACTCGGATGATGAAGACATTGTACATGAAGAAGTCACCGTATTAGATGATGTTGATTCGGATGTTGAACCTGTTGCTTGCAATTAGCTTGTTCATGAACACTTATCCTAGTTTATTTATGTGAAACTGACTTGCTTAAGTTATGTTTTGGTGTAAAAGTTGAATATTTCTATTGATTACACATAATATATTAAGTTATTTATATTATGTGCGTACATATATATAATTCTAATTATTATATGAACTGTTGTTCTTGGACTGCTATACGACTATACCACCGCTTTACCATCGCGAAATCCGCTATTTGAAATAGCAGTACCGACCGCGATTTCGTATTTTGACCGCTGTAACAGCATAGCAAGGAGATTATACCTGTAAATTATATTAAGGAGAGAAGGTATGAATTTCATCCATATAAGCTAAGTATAAAATTGCATAAGCATCTACTCGTATTTAATTGAGAACATCGTCTTTGTTCCTAGAAATTTACATATGATACATACGAAGAAGACAATATACCATTATGTTTTGCTTTGCATTAGTAGTTTGGATTTACATATTTAGAGAAAAATAGCATATATAGGAGCAATAGACAACTCCACTGAATTATCAACATTTGCATGGTTGGGAATGCTCTCATCCACAAATAAATTAGATGCTAGTATCTCTGATCAATGGGGATTTTAGAAAATAAATTTCTAATACCATTAGGTTACGATATCTTTTAGTCATTACAAGAGATTTGATAAATGATTAGAAATTAGACTCGTTAAGTTCATATTACTAATAATGATGATGATGATTCTAAAGTTCATCTTCTTGAACATAATAGTTGTGTCATCGGAGCACAAATTAAAACCCATGGATGTGACATGTATAATAATGTTGTGTCGTAACCAAAAAATAAGGTGTGTGCTAACAATAACTAGCATGCGTCATACATATATCATCTCATATAACCTTAGATATGTGTTATCCACTTCATCCACCCTATGAACCAAACTGGCCCAGGCTATTGCTAATCCCCCCTCCCGTAATGAAGTTTCCTACCGATGAGGCATCCATATTGTTTTATTAGAAGTATAATTCATTGCTCCAACCAATCATAGTATATACAGCTAATATAAGTACATTCTTGCAAACCATGGCCTCCGGAAATCACAAAAACCCCTTAAGTTTTGAAGTGCAATTTTGAGATCATGGACCAAGATTTATCGAAATACCATGTAAACAGCTATATCAAATGGTAGAATCAATGATTGGTATGATGAAGATACGGCTTTGAATGGCTTCTTTCTTTACAAAGAAAAAGGACACCATAATCATGATTTTTCTCACTAAAAAAAACCTCACTTTATCAACCTATCAATATTTTGATTGTAAACCAAACTTGGAATTTTCACATTGTAAACTGGAGCAAAAAGGTTTTATTTTAAGGTCGATCGGCAGAACAGTAAAGAAATATAAACAAAAAAAAGGTAAACAAACCTTCTGCAGTTGAAATTACCCGCGACAAGCAAGGACCATTTGCCCCATTTTCTACTTGAAACAGAGAACCAAATGGACACCCAATCAATGGCTGAAGTGGGTAATTCTTGTTCCCAATTTTCACAATCCTACAAAAATCCCACATTCTATCATCAAAATGCACATTTAACAAAATGAAAGAACCTCTCTCAATTCTATAAAGAGTGGGCAACTCATATTCCCAACGTCCACAATCCCACAAACAATCCTGTATTCTATCATCAAAAAGCACATAAGACAAGACGAATATATCCTCTCTCGTTTATGAAACAAGAACCAGCATAAAATAGATTCCAACTTATACGGGAACATGGAAATCAAACAAACATAAATTAAAGCGGTAGATGTTGATGTTACATTGGCAGCAAGATCAAATTTCTATACGAAAGTTCGTATGTTCGAATTAAAAAATCAAAATGTAGCATTTTCTTGAACAAAGAAAGTAATTACTTACGAGCCAGCGGTGAGGCGAGAGAAAACAAGGCGATCACCATCGTTGATATCAAGCAAAACGCTGCAACCTTCCCAGGTGATTCTACGGTTTTCGTTTGAATGATTTTCTTGTTCGAGTGTTGACATCTCGCTCAACTGAAACAAATTCGAACACTATCAACAGACCTCGATTCAAGTTCTTCAATTTGGATTCAACTATGAAGATGAAAGGTACATAAACCCTAATCAGGGTTTTGAGTTTTTACGCAACCGGTTCAACCGGGCGGGATCCAAACTAAACCCTAAACCCCTTCTGCAATCAGAAACATGTTGGATTGGTAAGAAAGAAAACAAGGGGGTGGTTTGGGATCGGTTATAAAATCTGTTTTTTTATTTATTTCAATTTGGCATCGGTGATAAGATATATTCTGGTATTTGGATAAAGAAATTGTTTACATCGGTGTTAAACCGGTAATAAGCTGTTTTTGATAAGTTAATCTTTCCTGACTTATGAAAAACTGCTTATTACCGGTTTACAATTTTAACCCTGTTTTATTTAACTCCGGTTTGATACCATATAAGTTAATAAACACTTTTATAAAAAAAACATAAGTTGTTTTAAATAAGCAATCCCAAACACCCCCTAAATAGATAAATAAAAGAGTAAATTACGATTTTCCTCCGTTTGATTTTAAAATTAAGGTTCTAAACCACAAGGGTGGTGTCTGATTGGTTTGAACTTGTTTCAAATGTCAAAAGTACAAGGAGGTTCAAGGTTCAAATCCAAGGAGGAATAAAAATTCTCTTGTGGCCACGAAGGTTCAAATATGGTGACTCTGGGCTATCTGCAAAGCAGATGGTCGCTCTGGGATATCTGCAAAGCAGATGGTCGCTCTGGGATTAGTCGGCTCGCATAACGAGTTGGATATCCAGGTTAATAAAAAAAAATAAGGTTTTTGTTCTTATGATTTATAAATTAATTATTATTTTCGTCTCTAAAATAATAGAGCCAACTTAGGAATGAAAACAACAATAATATTTTTTTCTAGATTAATTTGGATATCCAACCCGTTATGCGAACCGACTAATCTCAGGACGACCATCCATTTCGCGGGTAGCCCAGAGTCCCCGCATTTGAATCTCTGTGGCTACAAGAAGATTTTTATTTCTCTTTGGATTCGAACATAGGACCTCCAGACACTTTTGACATTTGGAGCCCAAGTTCAAACCAATTGGGCACCACCTTTGTGATTAACAATAAATTTTATAATTCAAAGACGAAAACAATAATAAAATATGTAAATTATAGGAATGAAAACCATAATTTAAAAAATGTACGGACAAAGATAACAACTTTCAACAAACGATAAGGATGAAATGCGTAATTTACTCTTAATATAAACTATGTTAAGAAGTGGTTGGAGAATGACAACAAAATAAATTCTAAGGCCAATGTAATATGGTCGAAATCCTATGATGTTATCTCATACTAATGTATACAAAGCGTAGGCTTGTTTTGAGCACTCTAATTTCTTTAAAGTAACATCACCGGAGGCATGGTCGGGCAATTAAGGCCAATAACGCATCACCGATAGAAGGGGCGAGTAAATCGCTACACACCTGAAGGCGGACCATCCGACCCAACCCAAAGTCCAACAACGAGCTTTTTAACTGCAACAACTTAAATAACCAAACAATTAATAAATAATTATTATTTTTAGTATTGATTATAATATTCATCAAAAAATTACTAATGGATGAAATAAAGAGGCAACAAATATAAAATAGTTTGATAGAAAAATTACTACCACAAATCAAATAGAAATAATAAGACCATCCATACACTTAAAAGTAGTGATGGCTAAAAATTGGTCCCGGCTCGAGCCGTGCCGGTCCAATCGATCCTAAGTTTTTTCATAACCGGTTATAACCGATCCCCACGTAACCGGTCCCGATCCCGGTCGAAAATAGTAAGACCGGTCAAGGTTCTTCACAACCGGTTATGGACCGCCAGTCCCGGTCCCAACATTAAGATTTTTTTTAATGATATATATTTTCAATACATTATAAAATTTGTAATTGGGTCATTCAAATACACTTTAAAAGTACGTTATAATATAATTAAAATTACATTCTCTTAGAAAAATATATTATAAAATTATTTAAAAATACATTTATTTATAAATTTATTTGAATTTTCGGGACGGGCCGGTCCATAGCCGGTCTGGTCCCACGAAACTGCCAAAAACCCCAATCGGTCCTGGTTTTCGGTCCCATAACCAGTCCTTACCGGTCCCAGGCCAGACCGGTACCGGTTCCAATCCCGAGCCGCTCTGGGCCGATTTGGCCATCATTGCTTAAAAAGGGTCTTAAGCTTTTAAATGTGTTACAACGATTTTTATACCTATTTTGTATACTCTTGAAAAAACACATTATACACATATTTTATGATTTAAATAAATATTGTTAATTATTTATAATTTAAGAAAAATAAATCAAATATAGTTTCTTTATTTTGATTTCATATACTTTTTTTCATTTCAGTTTAATAATGAAATAAAAAGGGAAAATTACATGAAAAAATAACATATTTTAACTTGATTCTTATTTTGGGTAATGTACTTTCAAAACTTCCATTTTGATAGCTAAGATGTAAAGTTTTAAACATTTAATTACCCGGGTAATCGATTGAAGCATTAATCAGTTTATCATGTTGATGTGACGAATGATGTGATATCCAACTCAGTATTATTTGCTGACATGGTTAGTGACATGAATTTTTTTAATATAAAATTAGCCTTTTTTAATCTAAAATTAATCTTCTACCGATTATTCGGGTACTTAAATGTTTAAAACTTTAAATTATGTATCATGAACTAGGTGTATACGTATGGACTTTGTTGGTGAATGTGATTAATTTTTGGGATAATTGTTTACTTTTATCAAACATTTATATTTCGTTCAACATTGAATTATATACGGGTTTAAATGGTGATTATCTGCCATTTGGATTGTATATTCAAAATAATTACTAAACAATCATTTCTTGTTATGCATTAACTAGTGTTTGATATCGCGCATTGCGCGATGACGATAATTTTTTTTAAAAATTATTGAAGTTAGCTAAATGAGTCGTTGATCACATTTATATATTAAATTAATAAGAATCAATATTACATTTGATATATGAATCCACCCACATCATTTTGATTATCCATATATTTTATACGAGTTTTACAAAACAACATATTAATCCTGAATACGGTGGAAACAGCCCCGGAACACACATTGTTTCGAACCACTTAGAGTCATAACTGGCTTTTTGACCTTTCATGAAAGTTGTAATATATAGTAAGGGCTTTCTAACTGCAAAATACGAGTTTATTCTGACTTACAGTTTGTGAGTTATACACTGTCAAAGTACAGAAGTTGCACTATCGGTAAAATCCAAATTCACAATTTCCCAACTAACTTTTATGATCCCAACTTCGCATATTCAATCAAACGGGCAATTTTCTCCCCGACTATGGGTCACATACTACTCCCCATTAATTGAAAATCCATAATTCTAATTGCTACGGTAATACCTTTTAGTTACCTTATGTCTGTTTGAACAACCTCGGTTAATCTTGTCTTTCTTATTATGATGTACTAAAAATTTGATGGAAACTCGTGTGTTTGGTCATTTAGTAAATATACTATTTTTTAAATAATATATAAGAGTGTTATGTAAATAATATAATTGACAATGATCATAAGGTATTAGAAGCATTATCTTCATTTTATTTAACTACATTAATTATAATCAATTTATTATTATTTAGAAACAAATAT